GTTGTTGCTCTTAAGTGCTGTTGAGACCATTCTGACTTATAGCAACCCTGTAAAGTTTTCCCAGAGTTGCTGGTGGATTCGAACTGCCCAGTTAGCAGTCCAGTGCTTATCCTACAGTGCCACATCAGAACTCCTAGAAGTATGATGGTGGTGGTGATATGACTTGGGTTTACTTTAGTTAGGAGAGAGTTGGGGAAGAGAGTACATGAGTTCTGAGACTAAAAGAACAATTGGATCTACCTGGGGGACCACTAGAGTATGTAAGGTAGCATGCTTGGGAAATGGGAATAGAGAGGGTCAGGAGGGATTGTCGGCTAGAGCAGGAGACTAGACACATGTTTGGGTGGCTTTGGCATGAAGAATCTCTGTGCAAATCTTCTTCAATATGTGCCTTCATAAGTTGGCAATTTTATGGTCATTTACAAATCATAGCGACCCTATATAGGGTTTCTGAGGAGCAGCTGGTAGGTTTGAACTGCTGACCTTGTAGTTCACAGTCCAGTATTGATTCTTCAGTGCCACACCAGGAGTCCGGTGATTCTATTAGGGCGCCCATTTCATAGTGTGTGTGTGTTTGTGTAATAGACTCTAGCCTTGGAATCCCTGACAATTAGTATCTGTGTGCATAAATGTAGCCTGAGGCCAAGAGCTAAAGGTAGTCTGGGAACACTTGCTGGCTACTGGCAAATCATCTGTGCCATGAGAGTCTTGTTGGTAAAGCAGGTAGTGCATGCCCTTCCTGTATCCATTTGGACATTGAGGTTGGCAGTTGGAGGAGGAGAAAGAAGTTCACTGTGAAAATGCACGATAGTGGCCGAAATGAGTCTCTGGACTTTTGTCAAATGTGAAATGATTGTTGTTGTTAGGTGCCATCGAGTCAGTACCGACTCATAGTGACCTTATGCACAACAGAACAAAACACTGCCCAATCCTGGGCCAAACTCACTACTGTTGCCATGCTTGAGTCCATCGATGCTGCCACTTGGCCAATCCATCTCTTTTGGGAGTCTTGCTCTTATTCTCTGACTCTCCACCTTACCAAACATGATGTCCTTCTCCAGTGACTGGTGCCTCCAGATAATATGTCTGAAGTATGAGAAACAAACTTTGGCCATTTTGGCCTCCAAGGAGCACTCTAGCTGCACTTCTTCCAAAACGGATCTATTGGTTCTTTTGGCAGTCCTTGGCACTTTCAGTATTCTCCTCCAACACCATAACTCAAAAGCATCAATTCTTCTATGGTCTGCCTTATTCACTGTCCAGCTTTCTCATGCATATGAGGTTATTATAGATAGGAAAAGTCCATGAAAATGAGGAAGACCTTCAAGGAGACAGATTGACACAGTAGTTTCAACAATAGGCTGAAACAGCAAGGATTTGGAGGAAGGCACAGGACCGGATAGTGTATTTCTGTTGTATATAAGGTTGCTTTGAGTCAAACCGACTCCAGATCACCTAGCAACAACGACAGGTAATAGAGACTGAGTTAGAAGAGAGTTCTGGGGTGGTGGTTCAGCTTATCCTGAAAGGAGGTGCAGGTGATTGCATTATTAGCTGGTTCCAGATCTCAGGACAATTTTACTAAAGAGTAATGGATAGGCAAGAGGACACTCACTTTCCCTAGACGCCTCCTCACTCAGGGCTTACAGTTGGGACCTTTGTAGTGTGTGTATGTGTGTACAAATGTCTGAGTGTGTGTACTTGTGTGTAAGGAGATGTGTCCAATACTCACTATTTCTCCAGATTGCCTGAGACTTCCTCTGGTGGGGAAGCCCAAGATGCCAGATCTGGGAGTATGACCAGCTTTAGGCCTGGTCGCCCCCTATGCTTCTGGGATGAGAAAAACGATATGATGTTGCAGATCTCTCAACTCTTCCAGAGCTGAGGGAAAAGGCAGAGGTGTAAATCTGACTGGTGTCAATAAAAGCCTGTGTCGGGTAATGGGGGTCTACCAGAGTGAGGAGGTTTACAGAACCAATCTTTGTTGCAATGATTCAGAATACTTTTCAAATTCATTTGTGCTATAAAGAGGAAACAGACCCCCCAAAAATGTAATCTACTTGGGGTGGGGCACTCGTTTTAACTTCCAACCCCATTACCACCATTGGTCTGAAAATTTTTATAACCCTGGGTCACTTTCATGGGCCCTTTAGTCATTTCCTCAAAGGGAAGTTCAATTAGGAGCAATTATATGGACTGTTGGTTCACCCTATCAGCCCTGCACCCAAGTCTGATCAAAACTGCCTATTTTCTACCAGGCACATTAACAGTAGGATTGCCATTCTTCACGTTCTGCGTGTGTAGACGCTACCAAAGACAAGCCTCAGCCGCGCAACCAAAGCCGGACTGAGATGCGGCTGGCTTTCCTCACTGCCCCGAAGCTGGATGGGGCTCAGGGCCGACAGAGCCAAGGCCGAGGGCCCAGGGAGGGCGTCTGGGCAGGCGCTGTCCAAAAGGCCGAGCGATGGCTGCAAGCGCCGCCCCGTCCCTTGTGGCGCCAGCACGCGGCCTCGCCGGGCTCCGCTCCCAGTCGCCTGCCACCGGCCCGCCGGGCACACGCCTGGGGCGGGATGGAGGCAGCGCCAAGGCCGCCGAGGTGCCTGCGGCCGTCCTGAATAGCCAGGAAGACTGCCCTGGCTGCTCTACCGTCCTCACCCCGCAAATATTCCTGACCACTCCACATCCCTAGCAGATCTGGAATGAATCCTCTGGCAGGGAGGAAAAGGGTGATGTTACTGGCAGGCTAGAGGTCATCCCGGTGGGGCCTCCATGCCTCCACACACTTCTAATCACAAGCACTTCTCACTTAACACACACGTACTCACTTGTGCAGTTGGAGGGAATTGACCCTTTCAGTTGCTGTGTAGTTGATTCCAAATCATAGAGACCCCTGTTGTTGTTAAGTTCCATCGACTATGTTCCGACCCATAGTGACCCTGTATAGGATTTCTGAAGGGCGGCTGGTGAGCTTGAACCGCCGACCTTGTGGTTCAGACGGACTTTGCAGTCCCATGCATTAACCCACAGAGCCACATCAGGATTCATTATAGGGAGGAATAGAACCTTAGGTTTTCTAAGATTGTAAATCTTCTCAACAGCTGACTATCCCATCTATCTTCCGCAGCTGGTGAATTTGAACCGCCAACCTTTGGGTTAGCAGCCGAGTGCTTAATCACTGCGCCACCAGGGTTTATTGGGAGGGACGTTGTTGTTGTTAAGTGTTGTCGAGTCGGTTCCAACTCATGGCGATCTTGTCCAGGGTTTCTGAAGAGCAGCTAGTGGGTTTGAACCACCGACCTTGTGGTTAGCAGTCCAGTGCTTACTCTACAGCTCCATACCAGGACTCCAGGAATGACTCCAAGAAGGAACATTGTTAAGTTGTTGTTAAGTGCTATCGAGTCTGTTCCGACTCATAGTGACCCTGTAGAGGGTTTCCCAGGAGCGGCTGGTGAGCTTGAACCGCCACATTGAGATTCAACTGCTCTTGCAGCCCATTAGCCCACAGCGCCACACCAGGAAGGGACATTAGAGATCATCTAATCCAAACATCTGTTGCCACAGAGAACTGAGACTCGGAGAGGATGCCACTTACTGAGTACCCCAGAGCTCCTGTGAGGAGTTGGGATTGGAACCCACGTCTTAATATAGGCCAGTGCTTTTCCCACTATCCTGGACCCCAGTTCCCCTCATCTTTCTTACTGAACTCCAAAACTGTAAATTTGATTTAGTTCTTAAGGACAGTGAAGACCCTCAAAACAATGACAGTGAGAAGAAGAAAACAGAAAGTGGATACCCACACCACCCAACCCTCGCGTCGCTCAATGCGTCACTTTGGCTGCCCAAATCCATCATTGAGATTTGCTCCAAGTTCTCTGTAGAATTCCCCTGCACTTCATTCCAATCTTTTTTTTACCTATACACCCCAATTCTAACAGCCATTAGCCCCTCCTGAGACACAGCCCCCCACCTTTTCTAAAGCCACCCCCGGCTGCAGCCCGCCCCGAGAGCGCAGCCTGTTTATTCAGTCGGGAGTCCGGCACGCGCCAGGCGCACGCACTGCAACAACAAACCCGGCTGAATGAAGAGTTTGCAAGGAGCGGGCGCAGGGAACGGGCGGGGGAAGGGGGAGGCGGGGGAGTTTAGGGAGTGGGTGGGAGGAGGAGGTAAGAGGAGGGGGTAGTGGGGGCTGCAGCCTCTGGCTACAGCAGCAGGGAGTGGGGGGCGAGGCGGGGCCAGGGCAGCGCGTGGGGCTGGGTGTCCCATTGAAAAGGCGGCCGCACTCCGGCCGCCCAGCACTCTCTCACTTCTGGCCAGGGAACGTGGAAGGCGACAGGGAGCCGGCCAGGGCGGGCGAGTGAAAGAAGGAAATAAGAAAGAACGGGGGTTAACAAAATAATAAAAACAGCCTGAGCCACGGCTGGAGAGACCGCGACCCGGAGCAAGAGAGCGCAGACGTAGGGGAAGAGAAAGCAGGAGACTCTGCAGAGCGCGCTCAGCACCGACTTTTGCAGCTTCTTCTGCCTTTTTTTTTTTTTTTTTTAAAAAAGGCGGCATACGAGATGAATTGCT